TTATGGCTTTCCTTGCAGAGGCACATAAGGCCATCAAATGCTAACATTTTCAAATATTTTTCAATCATAATGCTCCAATGGAGCTTACATTAGAACCTCTTTTTGACATTTTTTTGACAATAATTTTTATTTTCTCAGGTTAAAATCAATAGCAGAACGTGAACAAGAAGAAATGCAAAAAGCCCTAAAGTCTTGTATAATTTCTCAACAAGAACCCAAAAAAGATTCAAATGTAGCAAAGAAAGTTCAGCCAGAGGTTACTGCCTCCTCTTCTACTCCAATTTCTCCTCCAGCACCAAAAACTGAAGCAGTGAAGCCCTTGGCATCTAAACAGGCCTTACCTCCACTGGSGCCTTCTAAAAAGAGTACTTCTCCTGCTGATGCTGCAGCAAGCTGGATATCTAGTGCAAAAGCTGAGGCATCATCAGCATCTTCAACTGCACCAGCAAAGGTAAAGATGATGGTACATTATTATTGTCATCACTCCCATCAGTGTCATTACCATCATCAATATGTAACCATCATTTGATTATCACCATTCCACCTCATCGCCATCATCAATATATACAGTAATGATAAAAGGGTAAATTTTACACCGTGAAAAGATGAAAAAACTTACTAACGTTTCGGACACTAGTCCTTCGTCGAGTAAAAGAGCTCTTAAGTCAGTAAGTTTTTTTCATCTTTTCACAGTGTAACATTAACCCATTTATCATTACTGTTTCATTAGAAACAGCGACGCAGCTCACACTAGTTTTTAGCTAGTTATCTCTTYTCATCATAATATATAACTATCATTATCACCATTCCACCTCTATTGCCTTTAATCTTAACCATGAGTCACCATCATTATCATCACCACTACAACCACCATCACTATCCCACCTCTACCTTCTTTCATCTTCATCATTAGTCACCATCATCATCATCACCATTATCATCAGCGCAGCGGCCACCACCATCTTCGTCTTAATTCGTATTCTATTCCGTTACCGTGCCGACGTTTTTCACACTTACAAAATCGACTCCATAGATTGATGACATTAATACCATGTGAAATATTAATGAAAAACTTTAACCCAATGTATTTTTCGTAGGTGACAGAAATATCCAAAAGCGAGCTTAATCGTCGAACAGAATACTTGAAACAGCAACGAGATGTATTATTGCGAATGAAGAAGCAAGAACGTGAAAAGAAATTGCATAAATATACCAAAGAACAACCGAAGGCTCGGCCGACGTCTGCACGAGCTGYTCATCGGGTAACGGCCGGAGAACGAGTCATTTCGCCGTCCGAATCTCCAAGTCCTACCGACGAAAAGAAACTGGCTATGAGAAGGGCTTTGGCAGACGTCCTAAAGCGAGAGGTCATCGAGAAATAGTGAATGATCTTAAAGATGATTAATGAAGCTTGAATTATTCGTTATCCTTTTACTTATGGTTAATGGCCTAAACAAGTTTTTTCCTTTCTAATTTTTCTATAAAAAATACAATTACGATTTTCAAAAGATATCGAATTTTGCACACGAAAAGTCAAGTCGGTGTGATGACTTTGAAATTGCTTTCAGCCAGAACGACATTTAGAACAACAAAAATCCAATGAAAAGCCGCCCTCGCGCTCAAATGAAACTTCCTTAAATATTTATAATTTCTTGTGGGAGTAACATAATGAAGCTGAGATTTATTGTTCCATTAATTATTTTATTATTATTATTATTATTATTATTATTATTATTATTATTATTATCAAATTATAGAGAACTTGCCTTTTCCCTAGAAATAATTCATAACTATGACTTTGTACACTATTAATTTATGTATGGATTGAAAATGCTACTTTTTTCGCTTTTTTTACTTTTTTGATATTTGACATTTGATATTTTATAATTACTTTCGTTATATTTAATGAGTGGTATAATCTCCTGAAAGCCACTTGACAGCACCCGCCACTGTCGATTGCAATGCATTGCGAATATTAAATAAAGTAATTCCCAAAATATGAATGACATGAAAATATCAACAAATTTTGTTATGAATACAGTGAAAGTATTCACGTTAAGGTGATGGACAATGGTTAAGATAATGCCCACGAAGTTAGTGTATGGGCTACGAGTGACTTGCCTCCCCTCCACCTCTTTCTCTTTTGTCAGCAAGTCTTTGCCCCTCCCGTCCACATCACAATATAAATAGTAACCCCTCGACCCCTGACTAGCAATACCCGGTACACACTGACCGACAGTACCCGCCCTCGCCCTCTTCCAATTTTTCTACGCTTCGTATTACTAGTAAAATGTTATTTGTCGTAGCATGTGCTCAGAATACCACTCTTTCATGGGTCTTCATAAAAAAATATTCTTGTTTCTGCTTATAATTTTTTAGTAAAAATACACAGGTAATTATTGAAAATCTCGCGCGCTGATTGGTCGAGAAACTCGCTATCACACGATAGTCACCTCCAGCGATAATCCAAGATGGCGGTCAGCCGCTTTGTTACCGGGAAAAAATGTCTTTTATCTTCTTTTCTTTCTTTCTTTCTTTCATTTTTTTGAAAAAATCATCTGTGTATTCATACTAAAACAATTATTTGCCTCGGCCTCAGTGAATATCGGAGAATATTTACCTCGCCGCTCGAAGACTCGCCTCACGGTAAATATTCCCCGATATTCACTTCGCCTTCGGCGAATAATTGTTAAATAATCTTAATATTCGACAGCCTCGAATAAAGATTTTGTTGTTTGCCTAAGTTTAGGCCTATTTTGTTGTGRGATTCACCTGCTTTCTTTGTTTTGTAACATTTGCCAGTCCGTATTTTATTARCGGAACAAGAGAGGTTCCAGATCGTGTATTTTAAATGTGTAGGCGTCTAGTAGGCGTTTTGAGATTGTTATATTTGTACATGCAATTACTCATGATGTTTGGTTGCGGAAAAAAGGAAACATAAAACGTATTATTTGCATTATATGTCGGTACCATATGGCAAAAGTATGAGTAAACTCATTGAAAGCATTTCTGTTTTTGACAGGCATTTAGAGCAGTATTTTGGATCCCAAAAAAGCCAAGCGCAAAAATAAAGTGCAAGCAGTTTGTTTTTAGAGAAGAATGTGAAGGAAGCGATTGATTTCTTAATAGGTTTGGACGCGAAAACGAAGCAGTCGATTAAAATATATCAGTCCTCTCAACACATCTAGCCACACAGATTTCTTGGTTCCAAGCGAGTGACTTTTTGAACGCTACTTCCTTGGTCGGCGCGAAAAACCTTAACTCAGCTTTGGCTATATGTTATGGCCCCCTTATATAATATTTGTTAGAGTGGAAACAACGGATTTAGAACACGCTATAAATATTATTAAAGTAAAAACAGGCAAAATTCAAGCCCCAATCTTTTGCGGAAATCATATTTCATACTTTGCGCATAAGTTTGAAAATACTCTTATCTCATACTTTAGATATAATTTTATTCCATTTACGCAAATTTCTAAAAATTCGAAAAATATTGTTATTTTTCCAAGGCGCCACCTGCGAGACAAAATATTTTTTGCGCGGGAAGCTTGAAAATGGCGCCTGTTGCCGCCATTAAAGAAACGCCCTGGAGAATGTGACGGGCCGCCCCTAATGTTTTGAATGGCACTGTACAGAAGGCAGCGTAAATTCAACATGGCGGACTATTTTAATCATACTGTCATTTGACGGCCTTTTCCCATGCACAAAAACGCCAAAGCCTCCCCAAAACCTAGTAAAGAGCTTTCATAAGGACATGGCAAGTACTAGGCGCCGTGTCAAAGTTTATACTTTAAACGAAGACCGACAATGGGATGACCGAGGAACGGGGCACGTGTCTTCGTCGTACGTTGAGCGTCTACAAGGATTGTCCATCATGGTTCGATCCGAAGAAGACGGTGAGTTTGGACTTTATTATCTGTTCTACTTCATCTGTGATAACCAAGGCTTATTATTTGATCGAATGGAGGCTTTTATTTATTATTTAATGGCCGAATTGTGTCGCTTTTCTAGGGTCGATATTACTGGAGTCAAAGATTCAACCGCATACAGCTTACCAGAAACAACAGGTAAAACTCCATGTCATTTTACAGTTTTTACAACAATGAACGAAAAAAATGACAAGTGTAAGTTTTTCTGTTTAATAGGAAACGCTGATAGTTTGGTCTGAAGGAGAGAATTGCGATCTTGCTTTAAGTTTTCAAGAGAAAGCTGGTTGTGATGAAGTCTGGGCGAAAATTTGCCAGGTAAACTACGTTTACGAGTATTTCGTAATTTTTTTTCATCAAAGAAAGTGAAGAAAATAATTGTTTATACGATTAGTTGACTAGTTGTACTAGTTAATAACCTAAATATTTTCGGTTTCCTTGGTGCATTTTAGAGCGAAAAATAACATTGCTCGAGAAAAAGTGTACAACCATGACATTGTCAGATCAAATACGCTGTGAAAAAGCTGTTTTATTTACTCGACTTTGTATTGTTTTATCCCGTTTAGGTCCAAGGAAAAGACCCTTCTGTTACTATTACACAAGAATTACCCGAAGATGACGATTCTGAGGATAGATTTGAAGAAGTTATGGACTCCTCTGGTCCCGTCGAACTTCCTCCTTGCGAGTTGAACAAGTTGGAAGAGATATCGGAGTTTTTGAGTGGAGTTCCTCCGCCACAATTGAGAGAAAAAATCGCACTAGCCATCGAACAAGAGAATTATATCAAGAAATTACTGGAGTTATTCCACATGTGTGAGGATCTAGAGAACATGGAAGGGCTTCATTACCTCTTTGATATCTTTAAATCGCTGTTTTTAATGAATAAACCCTCGCTTTTGGAAACTATGTTGTCGGACGAAAACTTGTTCGACGTTATTGGATGTCTAGAGTACGATCGAAATTCTYCTGAGCCGAGAAGACATAGACATTTTTTACAAGAAGAAGCTCATTTTACAGAAATCATTCCTATATCGAACCCGGAGTTGATCGCCAAAATAAAACAAACTTACAGAGTACAGTATATTTACGATGTGATTCTACCTCCACCGACTGTCTTCGAGGAAAACCAGTTGGCCTCTCTCGTATCCTTTGCGTTTTTTAACAAAATTGAGATTGTTTCACATATACAGGTACGTAAAAAATACCAATGTCTCTTATTCTATAAGAATTAATATCTCATAGTACATTGATAAACCCCGAACGTATTCATAAATGGATCTCTTGGTAAACGGAAATGGTATTTGGTCCGTTTTTCAAGGAAAAGTTACTCAATGTACAATGCAATGCTCTTTTCTATCTCCTCATTATTGAAATGCTGATCTCCGAACTCGAAATAATACCCTTTAATACTGTCTTTGGATCGGTATATATAGCCTTTAACCCATAGTAAAAATATAGACTGGAGTATTTTGCATCGAAATTGTTTGTAAACTGGGCAGGTGCACTATCCATACTTAAGAGAAAACACTGTTATCTTTTTGTTTAGATGTGTCATTTTTACATCATTTCCAGAAGAAAATCAATTATTGTTTTCCACTGCTGCAAATAAAATGCCATATTTCAAATTTTTTTWAATAATTTGTTCACCTTCGATAAAGAATAAAAAAAACCCATCCATTTTTAATTTCATTTTAAATGTTGTTTACTACAATCTGCTTTCATTATTGATAGTACTCAGAATTATTTTAATAGTCGAATGAATATTTTTTTAATGAATGAAGAAGGATTTGATTAAATACCTTTATGATTAAGAAAAACGTTGTTTGACTTTTAGCTCAGAACTGAAATTTAAGTTACTAAGAAAAGGATAAAATGGATGAAAAACAAATTGCAAAATATGAAAGAGAAAGAAAAATAAAATATAACAGCAAAAACTGAAGCAGTGTTAATTATGATATTTAGAAATTTAAGATAAAACAGATCATGATTGATACGTGTGTTAGTTAAAGTGTTGCTTAAGATAAGAAATATATCAGTTTGAGTTACTTTATAAAAGAGTCAAAATGCAGAATGTAATTTTACGTTATCCTATTAATAATTTAAACAAAATTTTTCAGTGGTATCGATCCTAATTTGATYATGAGAGTTTGCAAATCAGAACTAGTGTTGTACAGTACACAGAAATGGCTTTATTATAAACTAGTCCATGGATATTTTAGGAAACATCATGTTCTGCTTGTTTGATTTTTGATGACTGTATTTGAAAAGTGTTTGTTACAGTAATATAATGAATAAGAAGTAGATAATTTAATRCATGGGTAATTTATTCATTCATGTAGAATAGGTATGAACATGTCTTGTTTGTTGTTCCATTGTAAAGAATGTTAAAGAATTGTGATGACTTTTCAGGAAAAAAATATGCTCACACCGAAGTTTTTCCTTTCTCACATCATTTTATGGGATCCATAACGTGCATCAACTTAATTTTTGCACTTGTTATATTTGCTTACTTATTTACATTGCCGTGTGGGCTGCAAATGACATGATCGGCAGCAGCAGTATTGGGTTTATTTAGAGTGTTTTTTTTTTATTTTGGTTTTATAGAAAATATTTTCTTTTTTTTGAATATCAACATCATACACCCACTCATCCTACACTACTCTYGTTGCCATGGAAGTACTCTTTAATATCATACGGTCCTTTATCATTAGATTTACCATTAATTGATCTGTTTATACTTTATTGAGCATTGCTCAGAACTTCATTCCAGGTATTCATTAGCAACTATATATCTCACTATATGAATTATTTGTAGGAAGATGAAAAGTTTATGTCCGAGCTTTTTACACAGTTAACAGATGAAGATACAGCAGAAGAACGAAGGAAGAATTTGGTTAGTTCATTTACTATCATACCTCATCAAGTATTATGCTGTCATTAATTTTCTTAGATTATTCCTAGRCTGTTAGATGTTTTAGAAAATATTTTATATGTTGAAATTACGATTTCTTTTTATGTAGGTGTCATTCTTGAAGGAACTTGTCAATTTCTCTGCACAGTTACAGCTTCAGCAAAAAGATGAGTTTTTCAAGGTGTGTATTCTTACTTTACATTATAACATGAATCATRTTTCATATAGAGCGTTTTCACATGACGTCAACCCGGCCATTATGGGGTACCAAAACAATACATTTTCTATCCTCCCGGAATTGAACTCTATTTTTATGCAAATACTGTGCAGAAAGTTTCTATTGTTTATGGCTGCCTTCTGTGAGTGAAAACRCTCTATGAAAAGGATACAGTATATTTCCAATGCTCAATGCAGATCAGTTGTCTTTCTTGTYGTAACTCATATATTTCACTCATCTATTTATTGGTGATTTCTTTCTGCAGTGTCTTTCTCATCATGGACTTCTCTCGGCACTGGAAATGTTGCTAGTAAGTTGATAATATAGAGTGATACAATATTGGATGAGGTAGAGCATGATATATATTGAATTATCAAGATCAAGGACGTGTTATCTGCCAAAGCCATAAGCTGAGGTGGGTAAAACAGCCTTGTTCTTRATTATTTACAATATCATGCAAAAACCGTATTCAATAATATTGTTTTGTTAGTATATGTAATAGGACTCCATGCYGTCCAATTAAGAAATAATTGGACGAGGAAAATTACGAGGACTTCCAAAATTGGGTGAAGCAGTAGGCCGAGTCCAATTTGGCAGTCAGAGGAATTTTTCGAGTCTAATTATTTCTTGATTGGGGAGCTTAAATCCCATTACCTATTAATTATATAGCTGCCTAATTAATCCCATATCAACAAGACCTGTCCAATTAAGAAAATAATTGGACAGTTACCTATATGGGATTAATGAGAAGCTGTAAAATTATAAATTTTATGAACTAAGAAAAAATTATATTTAATTCTGCTTTCAATAGCAAATAGCAAACAAAAATCTCAGTTGTAACCTTGAGTAAACAAGTATTATAATCAAGTTTAAAAAAAACTTTATTTCTTGTTTTAGAATAATGACAATGAAAGCACAAAGCTAACAGCAGTAGATATCATCAGCCAGCTAGTTGACATCACTCCTTATCTTGTGAGGGAGTTTATTATGCAAGAAGGAAAGTCACCAGAAGAGGTACACATAATCATATAGGAACACCCATCCAAATAAGTTATTTAGATTTCCATACCTCTTCCAGAGGAGGAAAGCAATTTCCAATAGGTAGGAAGTAGAAAATATCCATACCCTGCCAATGGAGGGGATTGGATTAGCAGGGATTGGTGTGGATCTGAGGAGGATATATTATTAGTTTCAGAAAATGTCCTTTTYCCCCCATTAAGGGTGGCTGTAATGTTCATTTCATGGGTAGGATCTCAAGAGGTGTATTTTTGAAGATCTGGAAAACATACATCCTTCCATGAAAGGATATACAGCCATGTTTTGATCTTGCTATTTATATTTACTTTCTTATTATTGATCACAGCTTACAAACCTTTTCTCCTTTCTTTCCAGGACATGTTGATAAACCAGATTATAGACTACATGATTTGTGATGGAGACACTGGTATGCATCAATTTGTTTATTTTATTTTTGGAGACAGAGATAAGTCATCTTGCTATGCGGCTACTAAAACCAGGACCACTTAGACAGAGGGAACCAATCAGAATAGAATGATATTAATGAATTCAAATTTTGAGCAGTGGAACAAATCAGAAACCAGCAAAATACCATAGTCTCACAATATATCATCCCATTACCATGAGAAAATGACAATGGTTATATATCTAGTTGTTTACACCATCGTTACATCAGGGTCAAATTGATATTCTTGTACAGTCCAGGATTCTGATTGGCTTGCCTACCCAAAGTTCCAATGCATTGTTTTCATCATACATTTTGATTGGTCCTCACTATCTATCTTGTATAACTGGCCCGAGTTTCAGTAATCAAAGTTGTACTATGTAAAGGCTATTGTTCTTATTAGATACATGTAATAAGTTGTTGTGTTGCTTGTTTTAGGGAATGCATTCCAGCTTGCACAGCTGGTTAGATCATTGTTGGATCCAGAAAATATGGCCCTGGGACCAAATGTAAGTGTAGCTACAGTTATAGAAGGGTTACTATCTCTGCCTACTAACTCAGTGGGGGGGGGGGGTGGTTTGTGTTACCACCGTTTGCAAATAAATCTTTCAGTTGAATCATCACAAATCATATAGAACTAAAATGCTTCTTGGTTCTAATTGTTGACAGAAAATGGAGAAGACAGAGTTTCTTAGTTTCTTCTACAAGCACTCCATGCATGTGCTGACAGCACCCCTCTTTGCTGCCACTTCAGACTTCAAGTATCATAAAGGTTACTACAATGTTTCCTACAACTTTTTTACTATTGATGTTACTGATCTGGGTTTTCATGCCAGAAAAATATACCTCCAAATGTYTACCAATCTGCTGACAAACATTRACCTTTTAGTCTGCATTCCTTTCTTTGCGTTKTGGCATTCTTTTGATACTTTTTTAAGGCTTGATCAAGGCATGTTTTTCTGGCGTGAAAACCCATGACATTCGTAGTATATATAATGATTAAGCCAAGGTGCGTTCTTTCATTCAAAGTGGGAGGGGGGTGGGGATTCAGTGTCAAAAARAAGTCCCAAAATCCTAATAMATTTATAAGCTCTCTCTAAATCTCTCAGAAACCCTACATGTAAGTTAACTTGGTAAAATAAGTATTCTCTCAAACTACACAGTTTCATATTGTCACAATTGTTTTTTCCAAAACTGTAGAGAATGGTTGGATCATGATGTCATGATAACTGTTAATAGATCTGAATAATTTCTGCTCTTGGTCTCGTTCAATTTATTTATAATTTATATATGATTTTTTTTACTAACATCCTTTGTGTTTTGTCATTGTAGATGACTATGTCTCTTCAGTCACGTTAAGTCATATCCTTGAACTCTTAACCTTCTGTACTGAACACCATACATTTCATATCAAGAACTATATCATTGGTAAAGAYCTGCTGAGACGTGCTCTTATTACCATGAGATCCAAACACAAGTTTTTAGTTTTAAGTAAGTACATTATACTTGATATTATTGGAATTTGATAAGGATGGGAGGGATACAATAAAATTATTCATCTATTTCACACTAGCCATCACGTGGTATAAATTGTATTGAATTGTGTTACATTTACCAAAAGTTTGCATATTGTTCTCAGATTTCGGTACAAATGAACTGACCTTTAGACAAATTTTTTGTTTAGTTAGCTCCCTAGGCAAATTATCATAATTTTT